GAAGAGCAATTATCTCACTGTTGTCAAGATAAGCGCTTCTGCTTCTAGATTCCTTCGTGGATCGACGAAGTTCTAGACCTGATCTGATTGCCAGGTAGTCCACGGATATCAACGTCCCCGTCACCGGCTAAAGACCCACGCAAGCAAGAAACGACGAACGGATTGCGTTATTTTCGAAAAGTTGTAATCTTTCATTTTCTTATTCTTTTTATTGAATATCTTGAATTCTTTGTAAGCGAATATGCTTCGTACCAAGCACAAATTTTGTGCTTGGTAGTGAGGTGTCATTGTAGGCGTCTAAAAATGCCTATAGGTGTCCACACGCAGCTCGAGGAAAAGAGAAGAAGATGAACATCATCATCTGAGTCAAGAAGGATTATCCGAGTGGCCCACACGCTTGTCGGTCAGCTCCAAGTGCCCGTCGTGCTTGTCGGTCAGCTCCAAGTGTTGTAAAGAAGCTAACGAGAGCATAAAGCAAGTTAGCGAAGCGCACAAGTTAACCAAACGACAAGATACACAAAATGGTAAAAAATACAAGTTCGGGAAAGTCGGAAAACACCAAAAAGCTCAAAAAAGCTCGGAACTCGCGTGGCGCATGGGTCACCTAAGGATGACCCGCGGCCGCGCGGGTCACCGCGGTCCGTCTCGCGTCCAGAACTGTCATAACGCCCAAAACGCGTTTTAGGTTGTTTCGATGAGTCAACGCGGTCTGTCTCGCGCCCAGAACTACCATAACGTCCAAAACACGTTTTAGGTTGTTTCGATCGGTTTCTTTAGTCCTAGAGCTTCCTAACTGATTGGATATCATTCACAAATATGGTTAGGCCATTATTAACTAAAGATAGGGTCAAATCATTCATTCTTATCCAAATATCACATCCGGTGCCCTATAAATACAAGCCTAGGGCCCCCATTCTATGGGGAGAATTACTATTAAGAGAAGGAGGTGCTGCTGGATTGAAGAGTCAAGGAGCATGAAATTTCAGAGGAGGCTAGCTAGATCCTGGCGAACTTCAGCATAAAGAAGGAGTATTTCAAAGGATCCGAAGCCCCGTACCCCCTTTCCTTGATATTAGGCTTGGTATTAATCTTGAGAAGAGTACTGATTTTGCTTGGTCGATATCAGTACTTCAGCGAATACTTCCTTGGTGAAGTATGAGAACTGATTAATTATTCTGTCAACCGGATCTGATCCGTAGGCGGTCCACGGATAAACCCCGAGACATGCAAAGACCTCACACAAACAGCAATAGACGATAAATGTTCTTTGCTGTGTGTTGTTTGAAGGAAATTATAGTTTTCTTTATTTTTCCATTGTGTAAGATCTTATAAAAAGATCGTCTTTTTTCAGACTTATTGTAACGACTAAAGTTGTAATGAGTTATACAATAAAGAAAACAATTTCCGACACAAACACGCTGGCGATCACAATGGGAGCTAACAGCCTCTCTGCAGAGACTGTCGTGTCGTAACCTCCGATCCGGATCCCGGTTAAAGAAGAGGTCGAGTACGAGTTCGACCAATAGAAGTTCGAAGAGTATCTGTCGTCCTCCTCCTCCATATCCTCCTCCACTCGCAAGCGTAGGAATTTTTTTTGAATAAAGGATAATTTTTTTTTGAATATTTTATAGTAAAGCTTAATTTTTTGAGTAAAATTAGGAATTTTAGAAGGAATTTTCACACAAAATTTTTAATATGCTTATGTGATTGCTTTTGTCATATAAAATTATACTAGCTAGAATTATTATTAATCTTTAGTATTTATTTTTTATTTTAAATCTATCAATAATTAAGATATCTTGCAAAATTGTAAAAAGTATGTGCTCTGTGCTGAGCTTATACAAACCATATTAATATTAAGTATTTGGTTATATATTTATTAACACATCAACATATATTATTGTATTTTTTCAAACTTAACACTATTTTATGACTGAGATAAACAAATTGGAGGTTAATGATTTGATCCAATAAACAAATATATTACATGAAGTTTGATATATACAAATTTAAAAAAATAATGTTGTGTATATGCAAGTATATAAAAGTATATTGATCCCAGTTTAACACACAAATCTATTTCATAATTTTTCTTAAAAAATATTTAAATAAAATTTATGATAAATGTAATAATCCATGTTATAGATTTTAAATCAAAATGAATCTGACATATTTTATAGTAAGAAAATAAATAATTTTGATATTTAATCACGTGCATTTGTACGGGTTGCACTAAAAACAATTATAATATATATATATATATATATATTATATATATATATATATATATATATATATATATGAGCAATATGAGTATGCTTGGTACCCAAGCACAAAAAGTTGTGCTTGGTAGTGATGTGTCACATTCCCCTCCACTCATTAAAATATGGAACCACATTCACATGGGTAGTGAGTGGATGAGGATGTGACACATCACTACCAGCACAAATATTGTGCTTGGTACCAAGCATACCCATTTTTCTCTCTCTCTCCTTCCTCTCTCTCTCTCTCTATATATATATATAATCCATGTTATAAGGTTTTAAATCAAAATGAATCCTGACATATTTTATAGTAAGAAAAAAATAATTTTGATATTTAATACGTGCATTTGCACCGTGCCACAGAAACTATTACACACACACACACACATATATATATATATCTATATATAATATATATATATATATTTTATATATAATATATATATATATATATATATATATATATATAATGACTACAAGCAAATAAAGGCTAAACACATTGATGTTCAAATTCAGCGATAAATAAAATTTACACGTACACGTGCTCATAGAATAGTCCGCACAGGACCAATCCTCCGTGGAATCTTTTGGCAATAACCGAACTTTCAAAACCTACAGGCTGCAAGTAGCGTCATGGAGAAGGCCTCGTGCTTATTTACCAAGAGGAATTAAAAGTTGACTTGTGGAGCAGATAAAACTACATGAGCTAATCTCAGCACGTTGTTAGCCGTTGAAAGAAGTCTTGTCAGTGGGTAACGAAAATATATATACTAAGTTAGCGGC